CAGGAAAAGAGAACTTTATCCTGACTAGATTTCTGACCTGGAGAGTACCTTCAAAGACAAAGAACAGTGAGGTCATACACAGAGAGGGTAAAAGGGATAGGAAGAAGAGTGAAGGAAGTCTCCATAAACTGAGACCACTGTGTCCAGGAGAGTTTGAGAAGCCATATGAGCTTTAAACAAACGGAGATTTGTTTATACCTTTCTGATACATGCATGATCTTTTGGGAAGTCGATAGATTTCTCAGCAAAACACTTGTTCAAAATGCATATGGTCTCAAGCGCTATCTACTAATTCCATCAACAGCCCCCACCGACTAGTGTAAATCCAGAGAGCAGCTGGGCATTTGGGTTCTTTCCCACTCAGACAATTGGAGGCTCTCAGTCACCCCAATATTCCCCACTGCCTAAACATTTACAGGTTTATAGGGGCAAATGTACACAATATTACCAAATGGGAAAGGCTCTGAAAAGAAGGCTCTGAAAAGCACCCATTTGACCAATGCTGGAGAACTGTGTTTTCCTGTCGGTTTCTCTTTTTTAAAGAGGTCAAAATTTTGCCTCTCACAATCCTTTGACTCACCCATGAGAAACCAGAGGAAGCATGGATGGCCCATAGCAAGTGAACATTTCTCCCAGCAATAAACACATTCCTTTGACTCACCCCCAGCCATGGAGCCCCGGGCTTGCATCTCCAGTTACAAAGGACAGCCCTGGCTTCCAGTAGAACAGAGCTACTTCTAATCCCATGATCACACCTGATATTGTCCGCCACATCCCTATAACAATACATTTCCCGGAAACTAACATTTGGTCCTTAAGACAATAGCCCCGTGCCAATCTCAATACCTGCTTCGATATTACAAATTAACACACGGGAAAGCAACCGAATTAAAAATTATGTCCACGCGCACAGTCTCACCCACCAAAACATACATCTGCGAATATTATGCAACGCTGGAATCTAAACTGGTCTGAATTTATAAAAAGCCAACAGGCATGGATACACACTCTCAGTTCTCGTGGCCGTGGCCACCCTATGCAACAGCCCCAGTGGCAGACACGAATGTTCCTGTACAGTTATTTGTTATTATTTGAGGACACGAGACCATCGAAGGGGGCCGTTTGGGGCTTTCACCTTCTAAGGCTCTGCCCAGAACTGCCCGGTGATGAACGCCCACGCCGTCTTCTTCCACCAAAGGTGGATCCTGCTATCGGGAGCCTCCGGATCGTGACCGTAGTGCTTCTGTCTGCGGCTCTGGGGAAAGCCTCATCTTAGCAAGTGGCCCTCAGCGCATCCGGCTGATCCGCCCGCGACGCGGAGGCCGCGCGGTTTCATCATTAATGCTCCTGAAGGACAATAGCTCATCAAGCCCCACCGAAAGCCCCGGACCCGTCGCGGAGCCTGGGCTGGCGGGGGATGAGGCTGAGCGACTCCTCCTAGAGGTGGTTATGTGGAGAAGGAGCAATCCCTTCTCCCTCCTCCTCCTCCCCCCGCTACTATCCGCGGCCCGGAGAACTGCCGCTTGCCGCCATTGACAAGCACCGATAGAACCCAAAGAAAGGCAAAGAGTCCTGCCCGGCACCGGCGCCGCGCGGGCCGAACCTGCGCCCCGGGAGCGGCGCGCCGAGGGCACCGGGCGCCCGGAGCAGGCGGCGCAGCACCAGGTGAGCCCGCCATGGCGATGGCATTATTGTTCGGGGGGCTCCGGGGGCTGGAGACAAAACGCGCCGCGGGGGCAGTGCCGGGGCCGGAGAGAACCCCTGCCTCTCCCGCCGCCCGGCCGCTGCGGGCGCACCCCGATAGCCGACCCTCCCCGCAAAAGAAAGACAGAAGAATTAATAAATCAAGCTGCCCAACTTGCTTCCTCGCGAAATAAAGGCGGGGGGCGGGGGGGTGCGAAAGAAGCGGTAAAATTGCCGCGGCCGGCGAGGAGTGGGGGGCATCCTGGGCGAGGAGGGAGGAGGCGGCGGGATGCGGGGTCCAGCGGCGGGCCGCGGCGAGGCCCGCCCGGGAGGGAGCCGAGGGCTCCCGGGATGCAGAGTTCGGGGCGCCGGAGCGGAGGAGGGAGGCGCCCGGCGGCCGCGGGGACTGCTCCGGGGCGGTGGGCCGCTCGAGGGGCGGGGGGGGGCCTCCGAGGGTGCGGGGCTGCGCGCCGGCCCGCTCGGGGCTGACAATGGAAGGGGCGCGGGGGCGCGGGCCGGAGGGAAGGGGCCGGGGGCCGGGGGCCGGGGGCCGGGGGCGGGCCGCGCCGCGGAAGGTCAGGCCGGGGACGCGGGCGGCGGGGGCGAGGCCGGGAGCTGCTGCGCGTAAGCCGGGCGCCGCGAGCCCCGTGAGCCCCGTGAGCTCCCGGCCGGCGCGGAGGAGGGCTCGGGGCCGGGCACTCCCCTCCGGTTCCCTTTCCGGGGCGCCCGGTGCCGCCGCGCGCGCTGCGTTTTCCCGGGGAAATGGCGGCCCCTCCGCCGCTCGCTTGGGCAGTCCCCGCTTCCCGCTTTGCGCGGGAAAAAAATATATGATAATAATAATAATAATAATAATAAAAGGAAAAAAGGGGATAAAAGTAAAGTGGCCGCGATGAAGGCAAGGGCTGCGGCGGGCGCCAGACGGCGCGCGAGGCGCGTGCGGGGCGCGGCGGGCGGGACCGGCCCTGCCTCCCCGGCTCGCAGCCCGCTCTCCCCGAGCACCCGCTTCCAGCCTCGCCCGCCGCCGAAATCGCGCCGGTCGGTGTCCTTCCCCGCCTTGCCTCATGGGGGCGCCCTCCGCTCCTGCCCTCTTTGTTCCTCCCAACAATGGCCAAAGGACCCTGAGCCCCCAAAAGGCCAAACGCGCCTCCCTCTCCGGGAGTTTCCAGTCGCTGATGGCTGCGGCCGCGACCTGGGCCACCGCGGGCTTGATTTCGGCCCGGTCACTGCTGGGATTTAGTGGCAACGGTCCCACGGTGCGCGAAGGGGTGAAAAGGGCCAGAAGATGCGAGCTGAGAAACGAAAGCGCGGGTCCCTGGGTGTCTGGGGCGGTGCAGCCCCGACGGTAAAGGGGGTCCCGGTATTCCAGCGGTGCAGGTGAACTGCGGTGCCCGTCCAGCCCAGGGGAGTTCCAGACAGGGCCCGCGCCTACGCCCCCCACTGCCCTGGAGGCGGTCAGTCCACCCTAGCAAACGGTTTCCTCACTTTTCTCATTTGTGTTTGTGTCGAAATACAACTGTACCCGACCTGGGCTGCACGGTTGAAACGGTTCAATAGGCGAGAGATGCAGAAACGTTATCAAGAGTGAAATGCGCCTCGGTTTGTGCGGTTTCTTATCTAGCGACACGCAATTCTCAATTTGTTCATATTTAACTGAAAGTTATCTCTAGCCCCTTTGGAAAACTCCTTTTTTTCAAATGAGTGTTCAGACGGCAAGATTTGGAACCACGCTCATGGATTTTTAGAATCGCTTTAGCCCAAGATTATCATATAAATAAATATAGGCTCTGCCTGGAGGAAAAGTTTATCTTGCATCCAGTAATTCACACCTCTAAAACCTCCCTTTCCTGGATCCAAATTGAAAATACATTTATTTCCAGTTCTCCACTCCAGTTCTGCTAGCCTGTCACAGGTCTTCCTCACCTGGATCCATTTATTGCCGGGGTTTGGACATTATTAATGGTTTCCTCTATTTCAAAACTCTGTAAAAGAATTTCCCTCCTTGGATCCAGAATGTTCCAAAGAGTCTGACCTTACTCCCTCCCCATCCCATCTTCTATCTAGTTGCCAGGGATTCTGAGGCTTTTCCCAGTGGGTGGGACACCTTGCTAGCTATTGTCTGAGACAGCCAGGTCTGTTTTCACTGCCTCCTACCAGCAGAGCAGGAGGGAATCCCGTTTTCCGCAGGCAACTTTAGATGAAAGATATCTGTAACTTGTCCAGGGGGAAGGATGTACAAAAATCCAACCAACTTTTTTAAAAACGTTTTTCATTCTTAAGAAATCGCCTAAAAGATGCGTTCTGGGTAAACGCTTTTTTTTTTTTTTTTTTTTTTTGCACAGAGATGAGCAAAGATTGTGGTTGGAGATCACTCCACAAGTATTTACTGAGAACCAATTATTAAACACCTCTGTTTGGGGCGGGGGGTGGGGGAATGCACATATGGGAAAGTCATGGGCCCTGCTCTCAGAGAGCTTACATTCCAAGCCTAGGAGATAAAATATATATGCAGGTAAGACAAGGTAAAAAGTGATTAATCTTGGCAAGCTGAGTGGGAAACCGGGTACTTTCTTACACTGCTAACAGGTGTGTAAATTGGTACAGCCAATTTGGAGGGCACTGTTAAAATTAATAATGTGCACACTCTGTGACCCAGCAGTTCCATTTCTTGGTATGTATCCTAGGGAAACAGGCACGCGTATGCTCAGATTAGGTAATTCCCTCCCATTGTAGAGTTTTGGTAGTTTTGAAACTGAAAGCAACCTAATGGCCATCATTGGGAATGGCTAAATAAAATCCGGTACATCTATCTTCTGGATAAATTAGGCAACAGTTAAAAAGAATGAAGTAAGCCTGTATATAGTGAGACAGAAAGGTCACCAAGACATATTATTAATGAAAAAGGCAATTGCAGAACAATACATACTGTATGGTACTATTTATGTTAAAAAAAAAAACAGAATAATACTATGCATTTCTGTAAGTAAAAATGCACACATAAATAGATAGGAAGGGTATAAAGACACCCACTGAAAGAGACAAGCACTGGAGGAATTGTCAAGGAAGAGTTTAGTCATACAATTATTCATACCCATCTGTAACCATTGTTACAACATTTGAAATTTTACAATTTGAATTAATTTCTGTATTACTTGCATAACTAAATACAATGAAGAAGTTACAAGTGATTGATAATGTGTAATAACAGCCGCAATAAAATGCTACAACAATTTTTAAAGGGAGAATAGAATTTTAATCTGGAAGAGAGCTGGGAGTAGGCTTCAACAGAGAACGCAGGAGGATTGGAGGAGAAGGGGAGAGGGTCCAAGGTAGGCGCAAAGAAGCCTGACCACACAGAGCTCCTCCTCTTTCTTCAACGTCATCGCGTCATCATCACGTAAATTCCCTCGCTAGGCTGAGGTCGGCCTGGGCTGCTGAGGTTCAAGTTGAGCGAACTGAACAAACAGTTTACAATTTGTTTGATCGCTATGCTTCTGTGAATATCTTAAATTAGATTTAGAAGAGAAAAAAAAAAATGAGCCAGTAGAGGACATAACTTCTAACAACGATACTGGAAAGTAGTATTTTAAAAAGGAAGATCGTGAAAGCTTCAGGATGGAGGGTTTTTGTTTTTTTTTTCTCCTGGGTGCACACTGGAATGTATATTGGGAATTAAGTTGGAGGGAAAGATGAGTGTTTGAGAGGATAATTCATTTCTCTTCCCCCCCAAAAAGTCACAAAAGGAGCCCCCCAAATGCTTTTGAAACAAATAGTTAAGGGGCACCTGGCTGGCTCAGTCGGTAGAGCATGCAACTCTTGATCTCAGGGTCATGAATCCAAGTCCCACACGGGGCGTGGATCCTACAAAAGAAGGAAGGAAGGAAGGAAGGACGAAAGGAGGGAGGGAAGGAAGGAAGGAAATATTTAAGGCTGGTTTCCCTTATTCACTCATTCAAGGAACATTTACTGAAGGTCCAATGTGTACTAAATAACACTGCCAGGTATAACCGAGTGCAGGAAAAACAGCCCCAGACCAGGGTTCCAGAAGTGGGGGTGAGGGGGCTGGTGGTAGGTCTGGTCTCTCTCACATGGACTGTGTGGTCATGGACCAGCTGTTTACTGACCACCGCCCCTCCCATGCCACACCTTCTATGGTGGCTAAAATCAGGAGGGGGCACTAAAAATACTTGATCCCTCTAGTCCCTTTCAGTCTTAGATCATGACTTTATGAAATCCTAGGATTCTAACCATGTGATGATTGTGAATTTCCAGACACATGGAATTTGGGGAATACGGGATTAGACGAGGAGGGGCCCCAAAGTGCCCTGCCTTGGAAAAAACAAAAGTACTCACTGTCTTGAAGTTCTCAGTAGATTGGGTAGCTCTGGGAGTTTCCCCAGGGTGGAAATTTCATCACCACCCCTTTACATAAGCTCCTAGGAAGATGTTGCTGAGCTCAAGCCTCGTGGTGTAGCACACCCAGCACTACGGTATTGTCATAGTTGCTTTTGAAATAGAGGGGAAATGCCAGGCTGCACTCCATGAAAATCGTCCTCTGGAACCGTTTTCTTCTGTGGAAATAAGTCACGATGGCTAATGTTTATTAAACGCCTTACGGCCTGCCAGGCACTGTTCCAGACACATTCTGTGTATTCACCCCTTCCGTTCTTCCAACAGCGCAATAGGTAGCTACTATTATTAGATCCATCTCACGGAAAAGAAAAGAGAGGTCAAGTGGGGCCCACAGCTGGAGGTAGACTTGGGACGGCAACCCAGGCACCCTCACTCTGCAGCCCACATCCTCCCCTCCCTGGGGTGAGAACAAGCGGCTGCTGCCATCCCAGCGATTCTCAGATTATGTTCATTATGCAAAGTCTTATTTTAAAAACTTCTCTGCATCACCATTTTACCTGCCTCTGTCCGATGAAAGATAAAGATTATCCGATTGAGCCGCACAACACTGTACTTTAAACTGTCTTGTCACAAAGTATTAAATAAGATAAATTTGGTGGTTTCTCTGAAGCCCTTGCTGTTCATTTATCCATCCCACCATCCATCATACTTTGCCCGATTTATTTGACTGGCGTTGCCAATTTGGACTTGGAATGGAGTAAGTAATTCAAGTCAGAATTCTTATGCTTTGACAGAAGTGTGTGTGGAAATCCGCGTCGGACCACCAGCCCCAGCACAGGGACGTTCGCTCCAGCTCATTCCGGGAACGCCAGAATTAGCTATGGCGACAATATTGTTTAACCCAAAATTGCAACACACGATCTGATCAGAGATCTGGGGCTTGTTTCTGGATAAAAGAGGCAGTCCTGATGATATAGTTTGGATGCTTAGATTTGGGGTGTTTCCATAACAACTGGACAAAAACATAACAAAGTAAAATCAAACTGATCCTGGGAAACCCAGGCCCTGCGTTTACTGGCCTGGCCCTAATAACGGCATATATTATGCGACGTGTATTTTGTGCTGCTTTCACTATTCAATAAAGCCATTAAAATTAAATAGTGGTAGTAGAATATGAAAAGGCAAATTCCAATAGCTTTTATAATATACAACATAAACTTTTAGATCAGATGATAATTCACAGGGTCCCCCACCAGTATGCTAAACTTGCAAATCGACCAGTCTTCCAGAATTTCCTTGCCGTGCTAACCAACTCCAGCGTTCTCCCCTTGCTCCAAAACTGGATTTCACCCCCGCTGCTCTTCAGTGAACACTGTAGATTATTGTCTTGGGGTGGAGAAGAGGCAGTTCCGGAACAAAGCAAAGTAGAATTTTCAAGTCTGGTTTTTCTTTTCTACAATTATTGTGGATGACAAGATAGTCACTTCAAAGGGAAGATCATCTGGATATGACTTCATTCTACCGGGTTGTTCCATGTCTGTGGATGTAACAGAGAGGGGTCAGAAGGAGGGACCTTTTGAGCATCTTCATAGAATAGGAGCATCTTTCAGGGCGGAAAGGACCTCACAGGTCAGCAGGTGTAATGGCTGTCATTTCTCAGAGGCCCAAAGCAGGAAAGGTGGGAACCCAGCCATCAAGGTTCTCAGGCACATCCCAACTCCATCCAGGACTGCTCCCCTTCCTTCCATCTGTTTTATATGTTGGAGCTCCTGAAAGATTGTTCTTTTTTGTTTGTTTGTTTGTTTGTTTGTTTGAGCAAAGTTGGCGGGGTTGGGGGGGGAGGTGTTGAAAAATCAGTGGGTTTGGCTAAGGGCCACAGGTGGTGGGTGCAAGACTGGACCCCCCACCCCCTCACACACACACCCCTCCCCACTCTGGTCCCCTGTACCTCCCATCTGCCATTGTGCTGCACCCTCAAGGTCTAGCAGCTTCCACCCATAGATGGAAAGGCACCTCATGGCTGCCCTCACCTGGTGCAGCGATACAGACTGCCAAGACCCAGTCCCCTGCAGCCATAACCAGGGAAGGGCGCTGCGTATCACCAGCATAGAACACGGCCACAGCCGTGGGGGAGCCACAGCCCCCCCAAGTCCCACTGCGCCCACATTGCAGCCGCTGCCTTAGGACTGACAGTAAGGAAAACAGGGTGGGAGGTACAAGCAAGGGAGGGATGGAGGAAGAGGGCTTCCGGGGCAGCTGCCTCTGCCTTGAGCACCCACAGCCCCCCCCTTCCCCATGTACTCAGGGGCCCAGCAGTCATCGATGTCTCTGGAAGCCGCTGGTGGATCAGGCAGCGCGGGGGGCTACAGTCTACTTGCTGTCCGGTACTGGTAACACTCACTCCCAGCCCCAAAGCAAACTCCCGCATCTCCTCACCCCTCACCTGAGAAGCTCATCTTGGCTCAAAGTCGATCCCCTGCTCAGAGAAGCAAGAGGCCACCGTTGATAACAATAAACCTCACTACTAATTTGAAACTGTTCGATTTTAAAGCAACAGGACAACTTGCCCACTTTCTGTTTGTCAATTCCCAAGAGCAAAAAGATAAGAGACCGGGCTGGACCCAGTAAAGCGTTTGTTTTTTATTTTGTTTTCCATGAATAAATAGATTCAGGAAGACAATTTTCTTCCGGGCTGCATGACTAAGATCCAATAAGAATAAAAGTTATTTTTATTCATTCACTTATATTCATTTCTCATCCAGCCGATACCATAGGTAGCCAAATATACTTACATTAGACAATGGCAGGCTAATAACGAAGAGACTAAATATATATCAACGACTTGTCCTTTTGTCTTTTTTAAAAAGAAACTTGAGCTCACGTTTAACAAAGGTAACAAAACCTGTTAAAAGTCACTGAATAGCGCCCTGGCAGCATATACCCTAAATCCACGCCCTATCTGCGCGCCCCCATGCTCTGCTCTCCTCTCCCCGTCCCCTCTAGAAGGAGTTGGGCACACATGCTCTAACTCTGGATTATAAAGAATGCACTGGCAGTTGACTTCCTCCTAGATTATTCCAGGACATGACTTGAAAGACTTTTTAAAAAGGGAATGATTTGGGGTGCCTGGGTGGCTCAGTCAGTTAGGCGACTGCCTTCGGCTCAGGTCATGATCCCAGGGTCCTGGGATCGAGTCCCACATCGGGCTCCCTGCTCAGTGGGGAGCCTGCTTCTCCCTCTCCCACTCCCTCTGCTTGTGTTCCCTGTCTCGCTGTGTCTCTCTCTGTCAAATAAATAAATAAAATCTTTAAAAAAAAAAAGGGAATGATTTGTAACCCAATAGTATAATTTAAATAAATTGGGTTAATGCTTGGTTCTAACGTTCACGGTTGGTTAATTTAGTTAATTTGATCCGTGTGTCATTTTGATGAAATTGCATTTGATATAGCTCTTTACATTATAAATTGTTAATGTGCTCTAACATATATGACGATAAAATTATTGACTCTTCTCATTCACTTAAAGATGGCCTTGGATGAAAACGGTTTGGAAAGTATTACTTGTGCAATAATGATTTGCCCTTGGACTTCATAAATGGAAATGTAATGGAGCAGGTGATTTAGCTAGTGTTACTGAGAATGGTTTTTACAGCTACAAAATAATACTATTATTATTTTAATACAGTACATAGTAGGGTAACACATAACACACCAAAATACATTAGAATTCTATTAGGTGTGAGGCTAAGAGGGTTTTTTTTTAATGTCCTTTAAAAATATATTTTTACATATAGTTAATACATTTGTATTGAATTCCCTTATGTCCTACCGAATTTTATTTCATCTCATTTTATTCTCCCAAAGGAGAGTTTTGAACTGACAGAGTGAAGATGCTTCATTGCGGTGTCTACTTCATTTTTCATAAATATTTACAATATGAGATATTCCAAAGCACGATACTACAGATTAGAGAAATATCATGGGGATGAAAAAATGAATACATCTCAGCAATTTTAAAACAGTACTTAAAGTTAAAAAAAAAATCATTCCCATCGTTAAAAAGCTACAAGACCTCTTATTTCCAGTTTTAAAGTAATATATAGATGAAAGCATTTTGATTCATATACTTTTTTATGGAGACTCACTCTTCTGCTCACTTATTCAACAGAAACTTCGGGAGAATCTTCTAGGAGCCAAGGCTTGTGCTAGTGCAGGGACAGAACAAGGTCCCAGACTTGCTGATGTCCAGGGGTCAGGCGCCTCTCCCCTGCCACCCCCAGGGGCCCGCCTCACTAAAGAAGAGGCAGCTGGACCCCTGCTCTGCCTCAGATTTTTCCACCCCCCGGGAGCAGCCTGCAGGCAGATGGGGGGCCGAAGCCCGCCCTGTGAGCATTTGCTGCTCCCCGTCACTCCCTCCCTACAGCCCCTGATCTGTATACTTCTGAAGAGAACAAGCTCGAAAGAGTACTTTAAAATAAGCTGTCTTGTAATTCCAGATCCTTTGTCAAGGTGGTTCTTCAGCCCAGCCAACCCTCACCTGTGACACGCGGCCCACAGTGACTGTTCCCAATCTCAAATGACTGCTCTCTCTTTTTAAAAGCCGCTTTGCGGCAGCTTAACAGCAGAAAAATGGTCATTGAAATCAGGATTGCTGGCGGCTCCTAATGGACCGTCTTGCGGATTGGCTAGAGTGTCATATTCCTCACCAGTTTACATGTAATACAAATTTCAAGAAGTTGTTTGAGGCAGAAAAAAAATGGGTTCCTCTTGATCAGCTCTTTATGCTTGAGAAAGAACGTATTTAAATTAAAGGAAATACTGGTCCAAAGAAACCAGACTATTTTGTCTCTTCATGAAGGCAGGCAGTCAGTGTGTTAAGCAAAGTTTGCTGTTTCCCACCAAAAGCAATTCATTCAATAAGGGCAAATGCTTGGGATTTTTCTTTTCTTTCTTCTCCTCCCTTCTGGGATTACAGTATAATTATAAATATTGTTTATAGGAATCCCATATGCTACAGTCGGGCAAATACAGACACACTGAATTTGATTCGGTTATGCTAAGGGGTCTTACATAATCTCTTGATATGAAATTTTATATTCCTCAATTATCTCAAGACCAATGACTCACCTGGTGATGAAAGTGATCTAAATTTTTCAATATGACATTATTACTCAATTATAAAACAGTTGAGCTTTCTCTCCTTACCCGCATACTCCCTCCTAGGCTGATTCCCGAATGATGTTTGCTAAGATGTTAAGTTAAAATGACACCTTCCATTTCCAGTTCTACATGATGGACAGAGCGCAGGTGCTTTCCCTCTCTTGGAGGCCCCAAAATAATGGTAAAGAATTTCAAGGAAAATAAACACCAAACAACAAAGGGGCAGGGGGCTGGTGTGGGTCTTCAGCAGGTGGGAGATTTCAACAAGTTTCTGGAAGACTGAAAGTGCCTCGGGCCATGCAGACAGTGTCGCACGGGAGGCCATGGGTGAGAGTAAAGGCAAGAGGGAGCTGCACTGCAGGTGGGCAGGGTGAGAGATGGGGGCTTGCTGAGAGTCTGTTTCCAGAACGACCAGCTGAATGGGTCCCTCTCCCTCCCCTCCTCCCAGTAGAGTTTCTGGCAATCGCGCATTTATCCCCCCAACTAACAATCTGAGGTTTCCTCTCTAAAGAAATTGAACAACTATGTGGG